ACACACACACACACACACACACACACACACACACACACACACAGAGGCAGAGGGAGAGTCTATTTTGTTTTGAAAAGTGGAGGAGTAACAATTCTTCAATCACAGGTCATAAATTAGGTTGCCAAATCAGCCGCGGGGTTTCCCTTTCCTCAAAGTTACCATTTAATAGAAGTCACTACAAGAAATAGGCTGGGATATCATTGTAGAGTAGTCACTACAAGAAATAGGCTGGCATGCCATCTTATAGAAGTCACTACCAGAAATAGGCTGGGATATATCCCCTGCCCTGGAAGAGTTATTCCACAAACGCCCTTCCTATTCTTCTCTCAGCAGTCGAGACAACTCTGCCTACTCAAGATCCGCAGGTTTCACGAGCATGTGGCAAGTCCCAAACTCCTGGAGATAAGCGCTGTCGATGCTAAGCACAACGACCAGCATGTCTAAGCGTCATCTCTCTAGTACTTAGAACTGCATCTAGAAATAGAAAGTCCTTAGATAATTAAAGATAGCTCTCCCTGCATTGGTGTGATCTGTTTAATGTCTATCAGCATAACACACACTAATCGCCTGCATCTTCAAGTGACTGGCAGAGAAACGTAAAAAAATTAAGCAGCTGCAATCCGCCCAAAATGAGTTATTGTAATTACATTTAATTAGTTTAATTAGTTAATTATTTTGCTTACAGCTGTACAAGAGACTGCAAACATTTGTTAATATCACATTCTCTTTAACAGTATGGGGTGATTCTGCAGTTACACTAAATCATGTATGCGTATGTATAAAGATTTTTTTAAAAATGGGCATGTGGAGGGGGCTGCATTTCCATAGGCATGTGTTTCTTTCCCCAACACATTTGGCAGGACTGGAAAACACATCGAAAGCCACAAATGGAATCGAACCATTCGTAAAAGTCATTCAATACAGATCAAGAGCCACTAGAGGTGCAAAGGATGTCTATGGAAACCGGTTTATAATACGTGATGCCTTTTTTTTTTTACAGCAATAACAAACTGAGAGCTGCCAGCAAAGGCACAACTTGAGTGCTCGCTTATTTGAATTGAATGTGGCACCACTGACAATAATATTCAAGACAACATGCAATCAGTCCAACTGAAAAGAAAGAAAACTTTTCTTTTTGCTCCTTATTCTTTTCTCCCTCCTCTTTCTCATTTCACTCTCTCCATCTGCCCAGCTAGCTAACCATTCATCTCTCTGCCATGTGTCTGCTTTCCATAGGAACTAATTGCCCCACAGTAAGAAATATATATATATATACACATATACATATTATATATATATATATATATACACACATACACACACATATATATATATATCTCAAGAAGGTATTGCTACACAGTAAAAGTTTGTCTAGCTTGTTGGAATAATCCATACCTTTTTTAATGACAGACTGGTCCAATAGATTCATACCGCTGTTATTGGCATCTTCAACTGACTGTGAATATAAAAAAACATCACTATTCAAATTGACTGGATATTAAAGAACCGCGAACATAAATCATGTCATTGCAAACTGGAGTGTCTGTTATTTCCATTTATATTAATTCACCAGGGGAGGAAAGATTTTTATTTTTATTATTATTATTTCCCCCAAATCGACGTGGAAATGAAATTATGCTAGATGATATAGTCTTCTAATAATATTGAAAAAAAATGTCTGAAGCATATGGGGTGCAATAGGGGTTTTGTTATCTTATACAACATAGATATTACATAGACTTTTCAAGAAAGCTTTATATTTCCGTGAAAATCTGGCCATTTGGCAACATCTGCAAAGCCTAGTGAATGATACAGATGAACTCGGTTAAAGACCCCTTAATTTTCCACCCCCTCCTCACCCAACACTTATGGTTTGTTTGTTTATCCATGCCCTTTCTCAGTAATTCAAGGGGCATTTCCTTTTTATATATAAGACTTTACATTTAATTGAAGGCTAAACAATTCGGAGGGGAGAGCAACACCCACATTGTAAAGGAAACAACGTAGGGAGAGATTAACTACTCCCACGGTTTGCTGCCCCATGGTAGGAGTTTTCTGAAGGCCGGAGGGAGCTTGTGTGTGTGTGCGTGCGTGTGCGTGTGTGCGTGTGCGTGTGTGTGTGTGCAGGTGGGGACGGAGGAAGGAGAAAAAAAAAAGGAATTACACACTGACAAAAAGAAGTCGGAGCTATTAAACTGATTGCCTGGAAAAGTCACTCTGTGGCTCTCTGCAACCTTTCTCCTCTCGCCCTGGCTAGGAGCACACCTGTCATTATGGCATTAACTTCTTGAGTCTCAAAGCAAACAAAGAGGGTTGCAGTGTGCGGGGCAGGCTTGAGGTTTTCTCTCTTAATACAGGTAGTGCAGGGACTCCCTCCTAAGCGTGCGACAAAAAGCATCACAAAGAACAGAGGTGTCTTAAAAACCATCTCTAATAGGCTTCAGTCCTGTTGTCCGTCCTGAATTGCAGAGCTGGAGACTGATAGATGGATTTTGTTTTTCTTTCACAAAAATACAACCATTCCCTTTAAGGCAACTCGCTGCATTTTCCTTCCTATTTTATCTTCGCAGCACTGCGTGCCTTGAGTTTATCCTATCTCAGCCTCTTCCTATTCTCAGCAGAGACCATGCAAGATGGGAAATGATTTAGGGGACGTTACAAACCCCAGCCGAAATATAATGGAGCAATAAGCGACCTTTATTCTTTTTTCTTGGGGTCCTTTCCCTCTTCGCCCTTTCTTTCCACTCTTCCTCTACGCTCATGCACCCTGGTTTCTTGTGTCTTTTCGTCTCCTTCAATTACTAGACTACATACCCAAGGGGCATCATAGGGTGTGATGAAATAATATTATAAGTTTTGCCCCCCACTCTCGTCTGCAGGGAGATGGACAGACTATAGACCCTGGAGAGACGAATTTGGGAAGCTCAAATGGAAATAAATGTGAAGCGCCATCTTTTCACCCATCTCTGGAGTGCATGTGCTTGTGTGTGTACATATCTGTGCGTGCACTCCACTCGCTTCATCAGCAACGTGGGTTAGTTGTTGTAGTTAATGAGAAGACTCTTGTCTGATTTTCTATCTAATTACGCCCTCCTGCTGGGTTTTTGTACAGGATATTCGCGCAGCATGCTGGCAGTTAATAGTCACAGAGAGGATCGTAAAGATTTAATTAGGACTGCATGCGGAAACGCGGAAAAACAACTCAGACTTTTAATTACTAGACTTCTTTAGTTAAAAGTGATACCAGGGGTTACTTTATAAGAGACTTGGGTGTTTTGCTGGGACTTAACTTTCCATCTCCCTGCCTGGCGTGCAGAGGCAGTGGTGGCAGGGTGTGTGTGTGTGTGTGTGTGTGTGTGTGTGTGTGTGTGTGTGTGTGTGTGTGTGTGTGTGTGTGTGTGTGTGTGTGTAGTGGAAGGAGTAGATGATCTAGTAGGAGACTTGGTAACATTAATATACAATGCTGGAATTAGCTGGTTTGCTTGGGTTTTTTTTAGGGGGGGGAGGGTGGAAAGAAACCTGATAACCCCGACGCTTTCTATATCGCATCTCCTTGCTCGACGGCTAAACAGAAGTGACGTCCAAATAAAGGCATAAATAATCAAAGCTGGATGTATCATTGAATGTGTAAATCGTGTACATGTGAGATAACTGGTTGGCTTTGGGGCTTTTGGGGTTTTTTTGGGTGGACTGTGCTCTATGGATCGATGCTTTCCCCTCGGATCTACACAATGCTGGTCGCCTGGTCAGTCAGGAAAGAAGAGAAAGTTGCATTGGCCTCTTTAAAATTGCCCTAATAGGTAATCGAGATGTGTTTTCGATAGATGGATACTTTCTTTCTCTCCCTGTGTAAATTGTCCCCTGAAAACTTAGCTCACAGGGCAGCAGCAAGAATAAAAGTACTTTCTGTTTACAATCCCGGGACATTATCATGTTGCGATCACTTAATGATATCCCTGGACAATAGATTACATATGGCCTGAATGTGGGTTTATACAACACGCACCCATTTCTCCCTGTCTCCTCCTCTCTCTCCTTCACAAGCTCTTCTTTGTCAGCCAGACCTGTGCCCCTCAATCTATTTAAGCAATAGGACTAAGTGGGGGGAAAAATATCCAAAAAGAAAAAGTTTTCGAGTCAAAAGACAAAAGACATACTTTAAGGAAAATGCATCTTCGTGCAAGGGAAGCAGGCGTGTTAATGGACTAATAAGATCCTTTTTCTTTTCTTTTCTTTTTTTTTTTTTTTTGCTTGAACCCGTTTTCGAATAATAAAAATCGCAGTTGAAAATTGCTAGCTTTTCATTTTCTTTCTTGCTTTAAAAACAACCACACACACACACACAAAAATTAAAATAAACCAAACTTGCCAGCCCGGGTGGAGGGTACTGTAACACCAAATGCCTGGCAGGACAGAAAACGCCTATCACCCCTTCTGGTTCAATTTGTAGTCCCTGGCAAGCAAACACGTTCATCTTCATAACTGAGTCCTTCCCCTCCTAATTTGTAACATATCCCTGAAAAGTAACCATTTGTCTCCTTCTCCTCTCTGGATATCCGGCACACAACACCAGAAAGAGCTTCTCCAACAAAAATACCTCCTTCCTAACGCTTTCCCCAAGTCCCTTTAGCTATTGGGCTGAGCAATATAGACTAGGCGACCTTCCCTTTACCCTGGGCGACGGATATATTATTTTGTCTCGAAAATGATGGGGCAATGTGCCCCTTAGATGTATCTTGCGCCTCCCTGACTCAGAAGGGATATTTAGTAACAAGAAGTGTTTTCCATTAAATATCCGGGCAATGAGTAACTGCACCCTTCCTCTGTCTATAAGGGAAGCAGAAGCTCCTGGAGGAAAAGAGGAGATCAAATAATTGCCTAATTCCTTTTAGCGGCTGTAAAAGTCAAGAGGGAGCTGTTACTTATAGCTTGGGCTACTAGTTATCTCTGGATAGATAGCCCGGCAGAGACAGTGGATGGTTGGATGGAGGGATAAAAAGTCCTGATCTGCATTTCTTGCTCAGGTACAACTCCCATTGACCTCGGTGCGAGGGTTGCCTGCAGGAGGAATGCGAAACCCAT